GTGCCATTCCCATATCAGGGAAGACTCACAGCATAAATCCAGAGATATCCCCACCATCACCAGTTTGTGTAGTGCCTGGATGTGGTGCTCTAAGTACAGACGTGCAGATTTCCCCCACTTATTAACGTGATGCAAGCTGATGGGATGTATCCTACTGCCCTGAGTTCTAAAAACATTGATGTGGAGAGCAGGGGTGTGTGTTTGTGTGTGTGTGTGTGAGGGAGGGGTCTATATCCTGCTCAGCTATAGCTTGTCACAGTGGGCTCCTTACCCTGAGATGGAAGCATCTATCATCAGGGAAAGATCACGGCTCTACTGGTAGCAGGAGCTCCTTTGCATATTAGGCCACACACCCCTAGTGTAGCCAATCCTCCAAGAGCTTACAGTAGCCCCAGTAAGAAGAGCTCTGTACGCTCTTGGAGGATTGGCTACAGTAGGGGTGTGTCGCCTAATATGCAAAGGAGCTCCTGCTACCAGTAGAGCCCTGGAAAGATGTATCTGGGGAAGGCTGAATGGGATTCCTGCCAACAGATTTTCCCATCCAGCCCATCATGTCAGAAACTTGAGAGCAGGTCCGGGAATAGAGAACTTCTTCCTTGGGTCGTAGAGATGTGGAGAGAAGACTTATGAACCAATCCTGTAATGGCCTGAGTCTTAACTTGGCAAATGGAACTATGAAGGTTATCAATGCCCTATATATATGCAGTTCATATATGTATGTGTATGCAGTTCATATACACACACGCACATACACACACACACACACAGGTCATGGAAGACTTACTTTAAGACAACATAATGACTACAATACAATCAAATCCAAATAAGTTTGCACACTGAAACCAAGAAATCCTTTGAATTTACTGATGTTACACATGAAAAGCTTCTGCTTAATTTACCTACCTCCACACGTTAAGAGGTTCTGCAGAAGTACCAAGTGAACCGGGCAGGAGCACCTTGGAGTTCCGTCTCCCTTTGCTATACAGATGTGTGAACATCCACCATTACCTCGAGAACACGGGTGGGCAGCTGCATAAAAAATCGGAAACATGTTTTTCTTGCTTACAGTTTAGGCGAAAACATTCTGTCATAACCATCCTATTTCACAGCACAACACAGTAAATCTTAAGACGTCGTCCAAGGTCCTTTTAAAGGTATTTAAATCATGTCGTATCAAATTGCCACACCATGATCACAGGGTTTTGGGTAGACACAAAAGCAGCAGTTAACCCAACAAGAAAACAAGAAAAGGACGAAAACTAAACATTTACTTTATTCCTGCCAACAGATTTTCCCATCCAGCCCATCATGTCAGAAACTTGAGAGCAGGTCCGGGAATAGAGAACTTCTTCCTTGGGTCGTAGAGATGTGGAGAGAAGACTTATGAACCAATCCTGTAATGGCCTGAGTCTTAACTTGGCAAATGGAACTATGAAGGTTATCAATGCCCTATATATATGCAGTTCATATATGTATGTGTATGCAGTTCATATACACACACGCACATACACACACACACACACAGGTCATGGAAGACTTACTTTAAGACAACATAATGACTACAATACAATCAAATCCAAATAAGTTTGCACACTGAAACCAAGAAATCCTTTGAATTTACTGATGTTACACATGAAAAGCTTCTGCTTAATTTACCTACCTCCACACGTTAAGAGGTTCTGCAGAAGTACCAAGTGAACCGGGCAGGAGCACCTTGGAGTTCCGTCTCCCTTTGCTATACAGATGTGTGAACATCCACCATTACCTCGCGAACACGGGTGGGCAGCTGCATAAAAAATCGGAAACATGTTTTTCTTGCTTACAGTTTAGGCGAAAACATTCTGTCATAACCATCCTATTTCACAGCACAACACAGTAAATCTTAAGACGTCGTCCAAGGTCCTTTTAAAGGTATTTAAATCATGTCGTATCAAATTGCCACACCATGATCACAGGGTTTTGGGTAGACACAAAAGCAGCAGTTAACCCAACAAGAAAACAAGAAAAGGACGAAAACTAAACATTTACTTTAGAAACCAGCTGTTTTTGTGTGACAACTCTTAAATGTTAAGGAATTGCTTTCTTTTTAGGAGAACAGGCTGCATTATTCTGTTAACAGGTCTTACAGCAGGAGTGACAGAAGAATTTCTTTTCTAACTACTCTATTCATAGTCGTACTTCCTGTACTGTTCAGCTTAGTACTTTTAACACAAAAAAGGAAATATCATGTGTGGTATTTTATGCAGACTTCTTTTATGTTGGCTGTGCAACCCATTACTCTTGTAGACTATTATCTGGACTAGAGATGTAAAATTTCCAGAAATTTTGAAGCTTGGGGAAAAACCTAGGTTTTTTCCGGGGGGAAATAGAAATTTTCGGAAAAAATGAAAAAAAAATGCTACATTAGCACTTTTTTTTTCCTTTTCCAGATTGAAACTCATTCTGTTACTTTAGGAACATAAAATACGACTATGGACATTTTTACTTGGCATGAAATTATCACAACTAGCATATTAAAAATATAGTGTATCCAAACAATTATTACAAACAGAATACCCACCCACATGCAAAAACAAAACTGAAACCTTTTTCTTTTCTTGTGACAATAGCACCTCCTAAAGGAAGAAATGCATCTTGTTCTTGCATTGGAGAGTTCAGTTTGTAACCTAGGACTTGCTTGTCCTCAGTGCACAGAAATTAGATCAATCTGATACCATACTTATTTTTTTTAAAATGATTTGGAAAATATTTGAACACCTTGTCTTAAAATATTTTATTCATCATGTTAAAATAAAACGTTCCATAATCAATTTCTTTTCTTTTTTCAATTTTTCCAATTTTTCGGAAAAAAACAAAAAGGCTTCAGGAAAAAAACAGAAAAAACCCATTTCCCCCCCGAATTTTTCCGGGCCTTCCGAATATTCCCAATTTTTTTCCGGGCCTTCACATTTATTTATTTATTTATTTAGATTTCTATCCCGCCCTCCGCCAAAGGCTCTCCAATCTGGACTATTGCGGATCAGTAAAAGTATCAAAATTAAGCCTATGTCAGAGCATGCCCTAAAACTCTTCATTGTCTAATCAGAGATTGTTTCAGTAGAAACAGACTACAAACAGTTTGAGGAATTCTGGGACAGCATTTTGCTCAACTATTTTGGAAGCCAGAATGACAGAGTAGCTTTGTCAACTGGCACTAGGGTTGTTGGCCCCCTGCTTGGGGGGGGGATCCCCTGCCCGACTGCTGATCAGCTGGTGGGCAGCAGGACTTACCAGAAGCAGGAGGGAGGCCCAGGCTAATTTGCTGGCAACATGGCGATGTCACTTCTGTTGAGTACCAGAAGTAAGACACAGGGAGGGGAAAACAAACCTGACCCAAAAACTGGAATCAAGAACCAAAAGGGTGAGAAGAAAGTCTAATGAAGGGCCAATATTAAAAACCTAGTTAAAACGTATACTATACAAAAATTATTAGAAAGATCGTTAAAAACCTACATAAGGGCCTTGTAAAAAACTGTAGCTTAAACACAAGGGCCAATACACATGACCTGATGCATTTCTGCCCTATTGGGGCCTTCTTCAGAGGTCTGACAATATTGAGGTACACACAGGGCTATTTTTGGGCAGGAACGCACAGGAACGGAGTTCCGGCTGGCTCCTGAGTTGGCCACGCCCAGCAGGAACTCATTAGCATAATAGGCCACGCCCAATAGTAGAAACTCATTAGGATTGGCTACATTAGGGGTGTGTGACCTAACATGCAAAGGAGTTCCTGCTACAAAAAAAGCCCTGGGTTTTGACAACAAACAAAGTCAACAGAATAAGAAGGGAAAGGTGGGTGTGGCTGGATGACCACACTTCTGGTAACATGGGGGTGTGGCCTCATAGGCTAATGAGCGGTGCTGTCAGGGTGTGGCCTAATATGCTAATGTGTTTTGCTGTTGGGTGTGGCCTATTATGCTAATGGGGTCCTGCTGAGCTCTTTCAAGAACTGCTCTTTTTCAAGAACAGCTCTTATCAGAACTACGGCTTGCCCAAGGTCATTCAGCCAGGTGCAAGTGGAGGAGAGGGAAATCAAACCTGGTTTGGTTCTCCCAGATTAGAGTCCGCACACTTAACCACGACACCAAACAGACTCAAGAGATGAAGAAGAAGAGATTGGATTTATACCCCGCCCTTCACTACCCAAGGGAGTCTCAGAGCGGCTTACAAACTCCTTTCCCTTCCCCTCCCCACAACAGACACCCTGTGAGGTAGGTGGGGCTGAGAGAGCTCTGACAGGAACTGCTCTTTTTCAAAGACAGCTCTTATCAGAACTACGGCTTGCCCAAGGTCATCCAGCCAGGTGCAAGTGGAGGAGTGGGGAATCAAACCCGGTTCTCCCAGATTAGAGTCCACGCACTTAACCACTACACCAAACTGAAGAGATGAAGCTGACCCCAGCCCTCAGATGCTGTAGGAAGACCCACCAGACAAGGTGGAGACTCCATCAGGTGCAGATGGGGAGTCTCAGCCTGCAGTCAGTGTGCCGTGCCCTCAGTCCTGCAGCCCAGGACCAGAAGCCAAAGCAGAAGCCCTGCAGCTACCAGCCTCACCCTCCAGGGCTGCCAGAGCCTCGGGAACGCCGGAGAAGGCAGGCCCAGAGGGAGGCGCAGGAGCAGCATCCTATTGTGGGGTTGGCAGTCCAGCACCTGGCAACCTTGGCCTGTGAGCTGGAGTCACTGTAGGATCAGGGCTGACAGCCCTGTAGGCCGCTTGGTCGTTTAGGGCTTGCACCTGTTCCTGGATGACAGGGGTCGTTTCGTAGAAAAAGAGCTAGGGGAACTCATTAGCATAACTCATTAGCATATGTCACACCCCTGACATCACCAGAAGTGTGTTA